GAAAGCTCTCGTTGGCATCTAAGGCCGATTCCTTGAAGCACAGGGTGGGGCGCGGCGGGTGTTGGAGTGCACTGCTCTAATCCCTGGGGAGACTGGTTCTCAGCCCTGGGGGGGGGGTTCAGCGCTCCCCCCAAACATGATGAGATCTCTGAATATGTCTTCTGAAAATGCCCATGTGAACATGCATAAATGAGCCTATGATTCTGGCGAGCCCCAAACCTCTGAATCCTATCCATGGAGCGTCTAGAACTAGGTTGGGCAGCGGCGGGGGGGTGTCCTCTTTTAGGAAGAGGAGAGCGGGGTGCGTTCACGATCTCCTTGTCACCACCCGGGGAAGGCGCTGACATCGGTGGGTGCAGCAAGTTTCAGCCGTCACTAATGACTTTGTCCTCTGTCCATAGTTTGGAAACGTTCTGTGCCAGGATGGGGCGTGGGGGAGCCCAGGTGGGGAGGTGGACGGAGTGCAGCATCTTCTGTCCATGACAGGTCTCTCTCTGTCCCTCCGACTTCCTCCTCCATCACTGTGTCTGGTCGCCAAGGTTAATGACAAATCCTAATTACTTTTGGGGGCCATCTGTTGAGGGAAGCTGACCTCAGGTGGAAGCTACCCAGCTGCCAGTCTGTCCGTGGACGAGCAGGATACACAAGCAGATGTCTCTGGGAGGCTCTGGACAGAGAGCCATAGGATGGGGACACAGAGACACCCCCAGACTCAATACATCCTAAAAGCCCCGTGGACAGCCCACGTCTGGCTTTCCTGCTCACTGAGGCCTTTTGGACTTGAAGCCCTTAGCAGCAGGTACGCTTGGTACCTGTAGCCCCAGCTGATTGGTTGAGGGGCAGACAAAGAGGGTGAACTGGGCCAATCAGAGCTCCTTCCCTGGGAGTTTGGAATTAGGACCAAGAAGAGCTATAGAAGCCGAGGATGAGTGGCCTGGGTGTGTTTTCTCCCACTGGGGGTGAGAAGCAGGCTTTTCCTGAGGCAGACCATGTCCTCCTTGGCTCCGCTGATACATCTGAATTCTTATATTAAATTTCTGCTTTTACATAGTGTGAGAGTCTTTAAAGATGGTTCCCAATAATGGCCTCATCCCTGGAAACACATGCTGTTCTTTCCACAGGGAGATGGGGTCTATCTCCCCCTCTATGATAGAATGTGGTGGAAAAGGTGTCCGTCATCTAAGAGACCCAACAACTCCCACCTATCCTGGGATCTAGCTGTCGTGTCAAGGTGCCGGGGCCAGGCTACTGAATAAGGACAGATCACACACAGAGAGAGGTGGCCATGTGGCACAGGACAGGGACCCAGTTCAGCCCAGCCACCAGCTGGGAGCAGCAAGGGAAGTAACCCCGGCCAACCCCTGGCACAGCGGAATCCTGCTGGGCGGAGCCCTGCCCAGGCTCTTCCCCTCATGGGGTACAAGACTGCGGTGGCTTTAAGTCTGTACGTCTGGATGGTTTATTACGTTGTAACAGGTAATGGAGGCGACTTGTCTGGATTTGTTTTTCTAATTCTTGAAAGCAATGCCTCGCATCAAATATAGAAAGTTGGTCACAGCCAGGGGTGCTGAAGAAGCCCCAGGATCCCGCTTAGACTTGAGTAAGGACCGTGAGGGCAAAGTGATGCCACTTAATGAGTCTCTTTCATGGACCTCACTTCCCCTCCTTGGATGCTAACGGGGGCAGAGCCGGGTTGAGGCTTGCGGTGAGTGATGGTCTGACAGATGCTCGGGGCTCCAGGAGAAGGCAGCTCTGGTCTGAGGTGGGCCTGCGCTCCAGGGCCCCCAGAATGGCCAATGCTAGTGAAGCTACCCATGGAGCTGGAGAGTCTGAAGGCCCTTCCCCCTGGAGCTCTCTGGACACAGCGGCACAGCATAGGGCCAGCTCTGGCAGCAATGACCGTGACTGATTGATAAATGCCACAAAGAATCACTGGGCAGGCATGGAAGAGGGTCCTACCTCCAGCCCCCAAACTGTCCCCTCCAAACCTGGGCTCTTAAAAATTTCGGGTCATACAGAGTCCAAGAATAGGGTGACAGGTTTTGAGGAAAGACGTCTCATAGTTAAGAGCATAGTTCTGAGAGTCAGCCAGAGAGGGATGGGTACCTTGCCTCTCTGTGGCCTTGGAGAAGTGACCCAAACAACTTAATTCTCACTTTCCTCATCTGAAAAACGAGAGGATAATAGGATATACTTGATAGGGTTGGGAGGTTGTTACGTTGTAACAGGTAATGGAGGGAATCAGAGAACTGGAGTTAAGGAGTTCCTTCCAATGAGGTTTTACAATGATAGCACTTGGCACATAGTAAGTGCTCAGTAAGCAGTACCTGTTATGATGAGTATTCGTCATGTTTGTTAATAATGATCCTATACCTTACTATGATGACTTCGCCTCAGGTAATAGAGAAAATCCAGCCTTGCCGAGGTGGGATCTGGGGCCAGAAGGGGGCACGGACACACACTCCTGCCATTTCATCAGTTAGGGCTCCTTTGCTTCAAGAGCTCAGTCAACCATGCAGGGTGGGGTCCCCCCCCGGAGCAGCCCCACTGTGGATGGGTGAGAAGCTGGGCTCCTGACGTCTTGTTCACTGAGCGCCTCAGGTTCTACAGCGGGAGCCCAGATGGCACCCCTCTTCCCGTCTTCCTCCAGGTCTGATGTCTCACTCCACTTTTATCCAACTCTGCTCTGATCCCCTCCTGTGGAAGGGTGGGTGGAGCAGGAAGGAGGGCAGGTGGGAGCTTAGAAGACACAAATAGCACTGGGGTTGCCTCTGGCAATGCTACCAGTCCGGGCTGCTGCTGGGAGGTGCAGAGAGACAGCCGCAGCTAGAATCTTCCGAGACTGTCCCCCGGACTCGGGGAAGCCAGGCAGAAATCACGGCCTCAGCAAAGGTACACTCTGTCGGCAGGGATTTGACGGAGCTTCCCTGGAGGCTTCTCACGTCTCCTTCAGGGGAAGCCAGAGGCTGCAGAATTCCCAGGCTTGATTGTAAACCGAGGCTTCACTTAGCGTCAAAAATGAGCCTCCTCTCTCTCTCCTTTAACTCGCTGTTAAGTAGCTGCCCTTGTCCACTGAGCATGTGACCAGGGCAAAGCCCTGACAGTCCTTTGCATGCTAATCCATTACTCACCAAGAAGTACCTGCGGAAGTGCCCTCCACCTTGCAGGTGAGGAAACTGAGGCACAGGGAAATAACCTGGTTTACCTAAGATCCCATGCAGAATGAGTGACAGATCCAGTTTCAACCCAGTTCTAACTTCGGGTCCTCAGTCGCTAACCACTGTGGTCTGCTGCCACTTGGTGGGAGAATGTGCCAGGCCATGGAGACCAGAGCAGGGCCACACCTACCCTGTTGTCAAAGGCCCAAGCTGGAATCTGCTCAGTTCCCAGGGATGCTCTCAACTTGACCTCCCAAAGTAGCTCCTGGTATTGATACAACCTGGGCTCTTATCCCTGGCTGCAGCTGATTGGAGGAGGGAATATCACGTGACATGTGCCAGCCAATCAGAGAACTCTCCCTGGGAATTTGGACCCCCAACTAGATTCTATACTCCCTGGGCCACAGGGGATGCGCAGAGAAACTGGCAGGCAGCATGGTGGGCCAAGTTCATTCATTCACTCTAAAAAGTATATTGCTATGCACCTACTATGAGCCAGGTTCTATCAGAGCCCCCTACTTTGGGGACTCTCATATTTGATCCATCCAGAGTGGCATACAGTAATCAAACTAAATATATAGAGTGTTAAATATGGTAGCTGGTGGGAAGTGATCTGCAGGAAAAAGAGTGAGAGGAACATTTGCTTCCAGAGGCTAGACTTGACCTTCATGCCTGCAGGCTGAGGCCTGTGGCTGTACGAGGGGTCAGTGAACACACACACACACACACACACACACACACACACACAAACACATTTTCACACCTGTGGCCTGCAGAACTCCTCACTCCTAAAATGTCTTTTAAAATACAAATAGGAATCCAACCTGAGCAGAGCTGCTGAGCCCATAGGAGCCCCTCTGGGGAGGAAGCACACAGCGAGAACGTGCCGGCCTGCAGGAGTCTGTCCTTTGTCAACAGCGTCTCTGATCTCCCCAGCCAGCCCCACATAAAAGTGTCTGCCGAAACTGAAATCAAAGTCACCCACATCCTGCGTCTGGGGAACATCATTTTCCTCCAAGAACCTGGTTAACCCCCCGCTGGGTGTGCCCGAGGGGGGTCAGCGGCAGAGGTTGTCAGTGGCTGGCAGCGGCGGCTGCTGCCAGGAGAGCCTGGGGTGGGGTTCTCATTTCACTGCACCCTCAAATTTCCCACTTGAGACCCAGGTCTCTGGGAGCCCTCTGCCGGCCTCTCTGCACCCGAGCACCCAGTTTCCACCCACTTCAAGAGGCCCCCACCGCTGTCTCCCCTTTTCTCTAGTTCACCCCCTCACCCTGTGATCACCCACATTTCCCCGGCTGCCCCTTCTCCAGCCCACCCATGTGCCATCCATGTCCCTAGCGCTGTCTTTGCTCCTGGATTTCGTCACTCTCTTCTGCACACGCCACACCTGCTTCCTATCAGCCTGGCCTCTCTGCCATCCACCGAGTTCTCCCCTCCTGCTCACTAAGCACAGGGCGCAGGGGGACCTGGACCGGGACCTGGATTCCGTCCCCTAGCCTGCCAGTGGGGGTTCCTTCCCCCATCCTGCCACTCCGGGCACAGAGGGCAGAGGCCACAGGCCCAGGACCCACAACAGCCAAGTGGGGACCTGTGATGGGCCCCCGTCCTCTTACAGAATTCATTCGAGGTTCTAATCCTCCTGCTCGCTATTTTGACATAGTGGACTCGCTGCTGAGCACAGTCACCGTCCCTGCGCTCTAGGAGGGCAGGCGCTGTTTCTCCTGTTCAGCTGCGCCCCCTGCCCATAGCCCCCACTCCGCCGTCTGGGTGCACTGCACCTGCCAGTCACACGTGCCAGAGCCCCGAGGCAGCCCAGACCCGCCCCTGCACCCCGCGCCTCACCCGATTCTCTCCTGCTCCATCTCTTCCATTTTCTCAGCTCGAGCGATCACCCTGTTGATAATCTCCTTCTCCTCGTCCGTCAGCTCTTCCTGCTTCCTCTGTCTGTCGGGCTGACCGCTGGGGTGGACATTCCAGCCTGCCTGGAGCCTGAAAGGCAATTTGGGACGGTGTGAGGCTGGACACAAAGCCCAGCAGGCAGCGTGGAGGAGTGGTCAGGCCCTGACGCTGGCGGCTGGGAAACTCTCGCTGTGCAAGAAGAGCTCCCCGCAGCGCCCCAGCCCCAGCCGCTCATCTGCAGAGTGGGACTCAGCCTCCCTCACAGGGTTGTTTGTTTTTTGGGGTACCGGGGATTGAACCAGGGGCACTTAATCACCGAGCCACATCTCCAGCACTTACATTTTATTTAGAGACAGAGTCTTGCTGAGTTGCTTAGGGCCTCGCTAAGTGGCTGAGTCTGGCTTTAAACTCACAATCCTCCTGCCTCAGCCTCCCAAGCTGCTGGGATTACATCTGATGGGAGTTTTTATTAAGTACTTGCACTTGTAGGTGCTCTGCAAGGAACATTGGCTGCAAGCTCATGGGAACCAGGAAGGTAATGACCTTCTCAGGAAGATTCCAGAGCAGACTTCCACAGCTGGACCCCTGCCTGGCAGTCACAGCCCTGGGTCCCAGGATGACCCCAGTGCCTCTGGATCTCACATAACATCCAGGCTCCCAGCCCCAAAGTCTCCAGTAACATTTGGGTTCCTCCCTGTGCTCATCTCCTTTTTAAAAAGCAGACACTGCCATAGTTCCTACAGGGTGCCCATGTCACCTCACCGAGTCCTCACACCACCCTACAAGGCGGGGACTGTCCTTGTCCTTATTTCCCGATGGGGAGACTGAGGCTAGAGAAAGCAGGTGGTCTAGCAGAGCAGAGGCTGCTGGGAGCAGTCAATGCTGTGGCCTGTGGCAAAATCATGTCCTCTCCCCTCACACCATGGGACCCACCCAGGGTGCTGAGGAGCAGCACCCAGTTGGAATGCAGGGCTGAACACCCCTGGAAGTTCTTTTCCCCATTAGGGAAAAAATCAGTACCTCCCAAACCTCAGGAGCCAGCACCCATTAGCCACCAGTTTCGATGACTCTCCCTGCTCCCTTCATGCGTCTGCAAGAAATTGCCTTTGAAACTCAGAGTTGGAAATGAAAATCCCACCTCTCCTTCCCTGATTCTGACTTCCTCCCTCTCGGCTGATTTGTTCCCAAGAACAGAGAAGGCAGAGTTTGGGGCCAGTCTTGTGTGAGAGAGAAGAGCTGTGGTCTGGAATGTTCTGGAAGAAACACAGGTGCTTCTAGGGGACACAAATGCAGCGCCCCCCCCCAGACCCCTCCAGTGGCATCTCATTGACTTAGAACAAAACCCAGGACTAGGTGCGTGGGCACCAGAATGAATGCACCAGATGGCAGGACCGACCTTGGGCTCTTTCAGATGGTCGGTCTCCACGTGGGAGAATTTGACCTGAAGAAAAATGAAGCCCAGCCTCTGCCCCATTCTGTGACATCCTGCCTGTCCTTCCCTGTCCCGCCTCTCTGTCCCCACTGCCACCTCTTCCCCTGGGCACACACTCCAGCCACCTCAGCCTCTGCTCACTATTGAAGCCCCAGCCCCGGTTTTGGCCTCAGGGTCTCAGCCCCTGTCCCTGCCAGGATCACGGCTGTCCCAGGTCCTCCGATGTCTGGCTCCTCCTCGTGCCAGGCTCAGAGACGGCCTCCTCCAGCCCCGGCCTGGCTTGCTTTCTCCACGGCACCTTCTCTGGCTCAAGGTATCTTTAGAATTTTTTCCTGGCTGCCGGTGTCTGCCACCCCACCCCACTATGACGTAGAGTAGGAGGCAGCGGGGACCTTGTCTGGCTCAGAATCACCACAGCGTCTGGAGCATGCGGATGGCTATCTAAGAGGGAGCACACAGGAAGGGCTTTGGAGGACGACCCAGCCCCTGTGGCTGAAGACACGTTAGCATCTCCTTGTACATGTGACTCAGGGAGACCGAGGCCACGGAGGGTCCTCGGTCCACAGAGAGCACCTGGAGGGACAAAGGGAATTCACTATGATCCTGGTGACACCAAAAGGTCAGGACCTTTGTCTGTGTGGCTCCTCCTGATCCCCTGAGATGGCCCTCTCGTGACATCTTAGTAGCCAAGGGATTAGGAAAAATTGAAAAAAGATATTTTTTGTCTTGATCCCGAGGAGATCCTCTAAGTTACATAGGCTTCAGGCCCCATAAACCTTTGGCTTTCAGGTCTGTGGAGATCCCAGACTGAGAGGGACACGGGGAGGAGGTTGGCTCTGCACACCAAGGACGGCAAGAAGAACAGAACAGGAGCCCGCTGCAGCAGGCCCCTGGGGATCCATGCCTCCTGGCATACGCCCCCCCCCCCCCCCCCGGGCATGACCCTCCCACATGGAATCCAGACTGGTCCTGCATAAGCCACTAAGCACAGTGGAAGTGACCCTGGGTGGCTTCCTAGGTCACAAAGTACATGGCAGCATCTACTTTGATCTCTGGGGTTGCTTGCCCTGGAGGGCAGACACAGGCTGGATCAAGTCCTGACCCTCCGTGGTGTCCATATTTATCTTCTGTCGCTGCATAATGGATTCTTCCAAACCGAGGGGCTTAAAGCAACAGTGTTAGGATCTCCCAGGCTCCCTGGGTCAGGAGTCGGCAGGGCTGCACCGGGTCCTCTGCTGGGCCTTCCCGAGGCAGCAGTCACGATGTGGGTCTGCTGTGTTCTCATCTGCAGGCTCAACAGGGGAAGCATCAGCTTCCATGCAAACCTGGGCTGTTGGTAGAGGTCATTCCTTGGGAATGCAGGACAGAGGGCCCCAGGTCCCCCTGGATCTTAGAGTCTGCCTGCAGTCTCTACTCATGGGCAATTCTCCAGGAAAGGGGTCACTTCCTCTGTCCAATCCACGAGGAGAATCTCTAGTTCTGACTGCTGGGCAGAGTCCTATACATAACCCCTCCCCTTTGCTGCATCTCGTGGGTTAGAAGCAGCCCCAGGTCCTGCCCACACTAGGGGGAAGGGGATTCTACAGGACCATGGGACCAGGAGGTGGGGTCGTTGGGGATCATCTTAAAGTCTGTCTGCCACAGTCTCCCAGGCAGGGTCCCCCATCCTTGCTTGGGTGCTCCCTGTGATGGGGGCCTCACTCTCGCACGTGGAGTCCCTACCGTCCTGTTGGAGAGTGTTAGAGTCTGTAAACAAGTCAAAATAACACCAGGCCATGTGCGGACACCCCTCAGCCTGGCGTTTCTGCAAGTGCAGGCAGGTGTTCTGGGAGAGGCCTTGGGACACCCCAACACAGGGTGTCTCCCGGTCGATGGAGACCAGGTACCCCTCCTGGAAACCCTGGTCACGACCTAATCCAGCCCCAGCCCCAGCCCCCGTGGTTTTCCATAGAGGTGACATTGTACCTGACCCTCTCCTTCCTTCATTCGTCCCCATTTCTCTTCCTCGATGGTCTTTGGATCCCCCCCCCATCCGTCCCCGCCATCATTCCCAGCCTTTACAGAGCAGCTCAGTAACCCACACGCAGCCCAGAGGTCATGGGCGTGGCCAGCCACCAGTCAGACCTGAAGCCAGTGCCTCACCCCATCCCACACCCCACCCCACACAGCCTGCAGGGTCAGAGTGCACAGGAAGCGGAAGTTCTTGGACCCATAGCTCCAAGACACAGCAGGGACAGGGATGTCCCCGAGGCCCTTCCACAACACCTGCTTCCATCCACAGACGGCAATCAGCAGAAGGTCCCCTGGAGGCCGGGGCAGCGCTCCAAACCCTCCCCCCGTCTTCTGCTCCAGAACAGGCCGGTGACAAACAGCTCATCCAGTATTTGGAAATGGCCTGATTGGCCTCAGTGGGAGCCGCAAGCCTCCTGTGGATTTTTGGGTTTTAATTCCAAAAAGGAGACTGGCTTTGCAAACAGAAGCCTCTGCTCTCAGGGAACAGGATGGGCCTGTGTGGGACCCCTGGGCTGGGGAGCAACGTAGGTATGGGGGCCTCAAGAGTCTGCCCTTGTGACCAGACAGTGGCTCCCTTGCCCTGGGCCTCTGGATGCCAGCTCCGTGTCCTGAAGCCAGGAGCCCCGTGTTAGGACCTGGTTAAAAAACCAGGGCTGGAAGCCAAAGGGCTTCTTTCCTTGGACAGGTGGCTCAGAAGACTGTACCCAGTCCAGGACCTTCCCAGAGGGCCTACTGTGTGCCTCCGGGCCTCCTTGACTTGGTGGAGTGAATGCCTGGGGCCCTGTTTGTCACTCCCTGGTGGTGTGCACAGGGGTCTGCACAGCTCTGCATGTTGGCTCCCGGGTCTGGGAAGTGGGACTTGGGGCCATCGCAGGATTCAGTGGGAAAATGTACCTGAGGTCCTTAGCACATGGCAAGCGCCCGGAGGGCAGCGGCACCCTAACTCTTTACTAAGAAATGGACTCAGATCAATGAACTGAAGACCTACTGTGTACTGGGACCCTGGGAGCTTCTGAGATGTCAGGCCGGGCCAGAAGCCGTGGGGCTTGCTCTCCAGGCGAGCGCTGGGGCTGCCGCTAGTCCAGAGTTGAAGGCTGGGCTGGCCCTCAACCTAAGCAGCCCTGGCAGCCACCTACGATGACAGCCTCAGAGACACATCCCTCGGGTTCCTGGGAAGACTCGTAGCCTAAGGGAAAGGTACAAGGCTTTGGGTCTCGTCCTGGCTCCGCCCCTGCCTGATGTGTCACTGTAAGCACCAGCTCCATAGCGACCCCAGGCCTGAGTTTGCTCATCTGTCAAAGGACACCAGTGACCCCTCAGGACTCCTGTGAGGCCGAGCTAGACCACGCTACCGCGTGTTCACCGCAGACCTCGGAGCAAGGCAAAGGCTCCGGAAAGGTCAGTGGTGTCTCCTTCTTCTCTCCCTCCCACCTCGTCATTCTTCTCCAATGTTTTGGCATAAGTACTTCTGAAATCCTTGCCGTGACAAATTTGGTGGAAAATTACCTCCAGGGCTGCACAGATAGTGGACTCCAGATTTGAATAAATGAGTAGGCTGCTTTGATAGTGAGGAGCAGGGAGGAGAGTGAGTCACCAGCCCTGGGCAGGGAGGGAGACCAATGGAAGAAACAGAACGTGCGGCCAAGGTCATTAACTCCTGTTTGCTGTTCGAAGATCAGGAATCTCTTTAGACATCTGCAGACTCCCCTTATGCCCTGGCAACAGAAGTCTCTAAGTTCAGTTCCCCACCCAGCTGCACCGGCAGGAATGTTGGAGAGAGAAAGAGATGGGGGGGTGGGGAATGAGATGTTCAGGTAGACTAGCCTGACTTTAAATGACAGAAATATATATCAGTATAGGAATCTTATGTCAGTGATGTAACTTTTTGTTTGTTTTTCTTATAAAAAGTTGGGGGAAAAAACAGGAGCCCATCAGTAGGATTTTTTTTAATAAATCATGGTTTTAAATTGTGTGTTGCTTGTTACGCAGCAATAGCTAGCTGATACAGCATTCACTCTGGCCAAAAAGAAAAAAAAAAAAAGGAATCATGAGCCTTTTTGGATTTCCTACACTTATTTTATACATTAGTATTACTTCAAATTCCAGATGTGTAAAGTTCACCATGATATTTTTAATGTTTTCAGTCACTAAAGTCTTTATCCACCTCCATACTTATCATTCTTAAACATTTAGCTTTTGAATAAAATATTATTCTAAGAAAAAAATTTCACTAACAAAAGTCTGAAGATCATTGTCACTGACCTGCTCATGTCCCTGTGTCTGACACAAGAGGGAAGGGGCTTGCTGAAGGTCATGGAGCAGAGAAGGTGTGGCCAGGACTGGAGCACCCAGCCTTCCAGATCCGCTTCCCTGCTACCTGGAGCATCTGCCGCTGCCACCCACCAAAGCCGGCATCATCGGAGGCCCCCAAACAAAGGAAATGCGCCTCCTGCAGGTGGAGGCCCCTCTGAAACTGCAGAGGACAGCCTCTGCCTCCTCCTGCCTCCATCTTGATGGTTCATTTCTTGAACACCATAGGCATATAATAAATATCTGCCAGATGCCTCTATGAATAAATTTTCACTCCCCAGAGGGGCGGGATGATGGTGCGCTGCCGGCCCCGAAGCTTCCCACAGCGTGATGTGCAGAAAACAGGTCCTTTTCCTTCCTCCTCCTCTCCCCTCCCCTCCCGCAGACACCTGCCCATGAGGTCTCTTTTCAGCTCCGTGGGAGAGATTTTAGTGAATCCTGAAGGAAAGCAGGGGAAGGAGAAGCAGCCAGAGGCCCAGGGCTGGAGAGACCCAGGACTGGAGAGGCCCGTGGGTGAAATGGAACCAGCCACACTGGTGGGGGGTGCAGAGGGAAGCTGTGGTCTCTCTGCCCTCTCAATGCCAGAGGCACCCTGGCTCCTGCCAGGCGGAATTCCAGCCAGCCCTCCTCAAACCCCGGGCTCTCTCTCCCACTTGGACTTTGCAGATCCCTCTCCCCACGAGGGGCTCCCCTGCTCCTCCCGGCCGCACTCTCTCTTCACCTGGTCTCAGTTCCCACATCACTTCTTCCAGAAAGTTCTCCCACTGTGACGCCAAGTCTGGGCTAGGTGACACTCCTGTGTTCCTACCAGTAGGGCTCCTTACATGCTGGGTGTTATTTGTTGGTGACTGGCTGTTTATTTGTTTGTAGACCTCACTAGACACCATTCATACTTTGCCCACGTCTGTCTGTATCTCTGGTGCTTAGCAAAGTGTTTGGCATACAGTAGGTGCTTAATAAACATTCTGGAAAGAAGGAAGGAAGGGGGAACGGAGGGAGCAAGTGAGGAAGGGAGAGAAGGAGGGAAGGATCAGTGGGTGAAGGAGGCAGGGGAGGAGGATGGACATAGATTTTACCTTCTACCCTTCAGCATTCTGGAAGCTTCTAAGAGCCCTGTGACCCTCTGGAGTCCCCAAACTCATATTTATATATCTCTCCCTGATGCGTCTAAATAATACATGTATAATTCCATACAAAGCAGATCTGCCCTGGCCAGGTCCTGCCAGCCAGCCACAGGGATTGCGGAGATTCAAATAGGGTCACCGTGTCGGAAGCTCCCAAGGGACCGAGGGAGAACAGGCACAGAGCAGGGGGACCTTCCCCAGGTCACCTGGTGAAGTGTTACCGGCATCAAGTAAACTTTCAAAGGTTCTGATACCGTGATCATCGGGGTTGAAAAGGCTGAGCAAACTGTACCCGTGTTCTCCACATAGAGACCCGGGAGGGCCAGGGTGTGATTCGCACCTTTGTTGAATTTCCTGGGTGCTTTACAGTTTACAAAGCTTTCCTGTGCTCGTCGTTTGATCATGCCACCACCCCGTGAGGGATAAAGGGCATTTTGCAGACCAGAGAGTCAGGGCTTGGGGACGTGAGGGGCAGTGCCCGAGGCCACACAGACGGTGAGTCCCAGGGTCCCATCGGGCCAGGGGAACAGTCACTTCCCGTGGTTTCTGAACGTGTGCACGTAACTAAGACCAGGTTGCAGGCGGTTCATCTGCGAGACCCACGTCTGGTCCATGGTGCGTCTTTAGGAAATGAATCCAATTGAAAGCACAAAAGTTATGTGCAAAGATCTGGCCACAGCATTTCGCTGGGAAATTAGGATGACCTCAGAGGAGGGGACAGGACCCAAGGTACAGCACAGTACATCCCAGGAACTGTTCTGTCCATTGTCGACTGTGGTTAACAGCAGCAGTTATGGGAGCCAACATGTTCCTTATCTAAGATCAGCGCTCTCAGCGAACGCTGAAGAAGTGGGCAGAGACCTATCAAGGAACTCAATGAACTTGCTGTGAACCCACAAATGACTTAACAGGAATCAACTGAGGACTCTCCTGAGAAATACCCGTACTTTTGTCAAGTTCTTTTTTTTTTAATTTCATAATTTTTTTATGGAGATGGGTGTTTTCTTTCTCCCCCATGGAACTTAAATTTTTTAAGGTATGTAGATTTTTCTAGTTCCCTCTTTAAACATCTCTCTTTAGGAGCAAGCCATTTTGATCAGAAAAAAAAAGAGATGAAATTCAATTTGCAGAAAAACAAAAGTGTCATAAAAATACTCACTGTTCTTTATCACTGAAGGAAGGCAGAGCAAAGAGAGAAAGGAAAAAAAAATGAATAAAGTTAGGTGAGAAATCTGAGAGCAACACCAATACTATCTGGATGCAACAACCACACAATTCAGATTATGAGGACCTACTTCCTTTGTTTTTTGGTCACTGTCTTATTTCAACACATCTAACACAGGGTGGCTTCAACGTAGGGTTGCGAGACCCACATCTGTGATGAAATTGACCAATCTGTTCTGCTTTCTCATTAACGGAAACAATCATTCTTAGGTTTGAATATTTGGGCACTGTTGAGAAATCACTCAGTGACAATCTGATCACTGTGTGCTTGATTTTGAGTGTTTCAAACACTGGGGGGTTAGGGACACGTTAGGTAGAGCCAGGAGACTTGAACAGCAGAATGCACAGATCCCTGGTTGAGGAAAGCAATTTCTTCCATTCTAGAAAGGAAAGCAATCCCCCCATCTCTTGCATGGGCAACCACAGGGAGGTGGCACCCTGTGTGTTTCTCAGTTCCCTCCTCCCACCAGACGTCACAGCTAGAAATACCAACTTTTAGGGACCCTCTCCCCACACACTCCCCGCACGGGGAAATAAGCCATTGTTCATCAAGCTAGAAGCAGGCACATTTTTATTTTTATTTATTTTTCTTTCAAACCCCACGTTGCTGGCTTCAGACACAATCAAGTTCAAGGATGCGGGAAGAGCAAGACATCTGAAAATCACAAAAGCAATAAGTGTCTTTGGCCAGCCAGCGGTTAATGAGGACTCGATGCCTTCATTTACTGGAGAAAGGAGAATTGGCTGCAGTAACCCAGCCCCACTGCAGCCGACCAGATAGCATGTGCGACAGCTGTAATTCCCCCATTAGCATTTATTGAAAAATAATTTCAATATCTGGAGAAGATGCAGCTGGGGGCATTCAGAAAGCCAGGACATTCCGCGGGAGCCCAGGAGAACGCTAATGAAGTTGCATCCAGACCGTTGGAATAATTCTGATTTAATTGTAAGGCAAATTGTTTGGCTTCAAATCCACTAAAGTAAACTCTGATGGATGGGATTTTAATTAGCTGACATTTCTTAAACAAAATAAATACCCCAACCCCGCTCCAGGGTACTGTTTATCTTACAGAGACACACTTTTTAGCTGATGGAATATTTTCTGCTAAGTAAGTTTGGCTGCCAGAAGACATCACGGGAGGGCTTTAGAGACTAGAAGTTTCCTATTGATAAAGAAACCAGCAGGGTTCAGCAGTGTCTTCAAAACAGTGAAGCTCTTAGATCTGGAGAAGGTTTTAGGTAAAGGTAGAAGACAGAGGGATTTTTTTTTTTTGCTCTGAGTATGTGGTGGACAGGAAAAATCCTTCCCCAACCTACAGTCATGTGCTACGCAAATTAAAGCAAACCTTTTAAAATGCAGCTTGGGAATTGCTAGAAAGTAAGGGGCTTTTCTAAGATTTTGCCACTCTTCAAAACAAATAGACAAAACAGACTTCATAAAAATACAATTTTTTTTCTCTCTTCTAAAGATATTCTTGAATGAAAAAGAAAATGTTAAGTCATCGCCTGGGGGAAAGGATTTGCAAGTTGTCTATCCAACAAAGGATTTTTTACCTAAAATGTTTTAAAAAGTGCAAAACTTAACAACAAGAAAGCAAATAACCTGATTTTTTTTTTTAGTAACTTGATATTTTAAAGGGGTAAAAGATTTAAACGGGTACTTCAACAAAGAGGTTAGATAGATGACATTAGGGAAATGCAAATTAGAAGCCATAACAAAATGCCACTGTACACTCACTGGAATGGTTAAAATTGGAGAGTCTGGTCCTACCCAGTGCTGGGGAGGTGGTAGGAGAGCTGGAACTCTCATACATCCCTGGCGGGAGTTTTTAAAAATGGCACAACTGATTTAGAAAACCATTTGGCAATTTCTTGAAAAGCTAAATCAATACCTCCCAAATGGCTGGGACATTCCACTCCTAGATAGTTCCCCAAGAGAAGTGAAAAGCACTTCCTACACAGAGTTTCGTTTGTGCTAGCCCAAACCTGGGAACAGTGCAAGTGTTCACAATGGACAGAGGTGGCCTATTCACACAGTGGACTACTACTCTGCAAGAAAAAGAGACCAGCTCTTGATATGTGAAGAAATACAGTTGGATCCAAAATAATTACTCTGAGCAAAACAGGTCGGCCATGTTTCCCCTCTCTCCAAAAGTACATATTGTTTGATTCCATTTGTATCAAATTCTAGGAAAGGTAAATTAATTTATAGTTAAAGAACAGACATTAATGACTACTTGGGGATGGGCGAGTGGGTAGGGGAGCCCAAAGGAGGGACTCAGAAGTGGCAGGGACTGTTTTGGGACAGATGGAAATATTTATTATCTTGATTGTTTGTTATCTTGGTTTCATGGGTACACACATTTGCTTAAAAATTATCAAGCTGTACTTTACATGACTTTAGAAGGTGTGCTCTGGAAGGTACGTTAGTTAAGTCTTTACAAGACAACTGAGAACAGAAAGGAAAAGAAAACCCAGAAGCTGACCCATACCAACAGCAGCACAGTGTTCTAGAGGATGACACTGACCTCCCCACAAGGTGGGGATCCGAGACCCCCGTGCGCAGCCAGGACCCTCAATGGGAGCAAGCATGATCCTGGATCAAAGGTACCTCTGACTCCTGGCAGAAATGAGTGTCATTCTCCCTGAAGAAAAATGTCCCCAAGGTAGGTCCCCAGGATTCTCAAGGACTGAGCTCACAATAACCCTCATAAAGAGGCAAACCAGCCGGCCACGGTAGCACATGCCTGTAATCCCAAAGGCTCGGGAGGCTGAGGCAGGAGGATCCCGAGTTCAAAGCAGTCTCAGCAAAAGCAAGGCACTAAGCAACTAACTCAGTGGGACCCTGTCTCTAACTTTGGGCAGTGGTACATTGGTGAATGTTCAATGACATTTTCTCAGGCCAAAACCCCATTGTGACCGATTTCAAGTGCCAAGAGGAGGTCATACAGGGTTGGGAGGAAATGGGCAGTAGGTACCACATTATAAGTATTTCTTCCACACAGGAATCAGAGACATAACTAATAGAGAATAGCAACCTGTACTAGGAAAAAAATTAAATGATTAATTTTGAGTATTTGTCACTGTTGTGTAAAATGCAACTTAATTGTAAATTTACAAAACTTGATTTTTTTTGTGACGGTAGTGCTTAATAAGAGGGTTGCATAAATCCTGCAAATTTAACATCGGCTCTCAGACAACCCTGTGGTACAGGTCAGCGCACCACGGGGTCAGGTAATTATTGGATACAGAATGTGAAGTTCCTGCCTGTTAAAAGAGGTTATTAAATTTTAATTCACATTAAAAACTGAGCAAGGGGCTGGAAACTCAAAAAGTGGTTAAGAATATACTAAAAAAAATGAGAAAGAATTTTTAGAAGTAAAATAGTTGACTATGAAAATTCTAAAACTGGAATAGGGTGGTTTAGTGGAGGGTTGGTGGGCTTGAAGATAATAGGTGGCCAGGATATCATTGTGAAGAAAGGCAGCCTCCAATAACCTCAGGGAGAAATGGGCGAAGTCACTGTACTAGAAGCTTCCCCCACACAGAACAATAGCAAAGGGGGCAATGCCAGCAACCCATGAGCTCATTCCAACATGACTGACCTTCGGGCAGTACTTAGAGAATGCACATTTCCCTCGCGTATCCATGAGCATGTTCTAGTTCATATGTCAAAACTTTTTTTTTTAGTTGTGGATAGACATAATACCTTTATTTTATTTATTTGTTTTTATGTGGTGCCTCAGACATGCTAGGCAAACGCTCTACCAACTGAGCCCCAGCCCCAGCCCCTCGGATGTCAAATCTTAACCTGCATCAGAGAGTCAGCCTCATCCAAAGCACATTCTCCAACATAATGCAATTAGAGATTCATAACGATGATCATAAATGAACGATCCCTGAAGAGCCAGGAAAGTTTGAGTGTGCTGGCAGACCGCTCTTGGGTTAAAGAAGAAATCGTAAGACTTAAAATACTTGGAAATGGGAAATAATGAGAACTCTGTCTGTCGAAGCTTGTGGGATAATTCAAATGAAAAGCCTCGTGAATCCTGTATCATAATTACTAATAGTGGGGAGAGAGGACCATCGGGAAGACGTGATCAACACAATAAGCCCAAGAAATGGGCAAGGGTGTCGATCGGAGGTCAAAGAAGATATTGAAGGAAGAGTGAACCTCAGGGCAATGTTGAATAATGGGGGGAAAAACCCTTCCCTTTTCAATCTTCTTCCCAGCCTATGATCACCTCTAGGAGAAACGCTCAGATTGTTGCTAATCAGTCTTGGATACCTGTCTGCGGCTTGCCAAGTCCCTTGAGAGAAAGTGGAAAAGGGCTCAGAACCTTGGAGGGGCTACTTACTGTGTAACAATGTATAACATTGTTTTGTTTTGTTTTTTCTTTTTGCAGTGGGGAGGAGGGTTGAAGCCAGGGGCGCTCTACCACCAGCTCCATCTCTAACCCTTTTTAACTTTTATTTTGAGACAGAATCTAGCTAAATGGCTCAGGCTGACCTTGAACTTGGGGTCCTCCTGCCTCAGCCTCCTGAGAGGACAGGAGGGCACCACCGATGCCCTGTAATAACCTTGTTTCTTTTGATTGTTTGTCTTCCTGGTTTTGCCCTTTGCTGTGGGTAGTGAACTGGTTATTCACTTACATCCACTGGCCACCTAAAATGACCTTGTTCAACAAAAGTGTTTTGCAAGTGAGTCCATTTAGAGAGGACAAGGACAGCCCTGTGGTAGCGATAAGGTAGCAGTTGTGAAGGGGGTACCCTGATGGCCATGTTTAGGGATACTCTGCTATCCAGGGAGAAAGGATCTCTGCTAAAAATCCTCCCCACATAAGTTGGGTGAGCCGCAGTCATTAGGAAACAACCACATTTGTTCCTTCCATCAAAATGGTCACTTCTCATCTGTTCTTCCCAGTACCTAAACTCTGCACGTGGCCTTAAGATGCTTCCCAACATACCCCACAAGGGACATAAAGACACAGAGGTAGCCAGGTGTGATGGCCACGGCTGAGTCCCTGTGCAAACCTACTTACACACTGTCCATCAATACTCCAATGATTAAATTAAGCCCAAAGTGATAGGATGCCTTGAGGGACCCCAATTATATTTGGGGGACTTTTTGGAGCTATCTGCTGATCAGATAATGAGGACCATGTTGGCTTGAGGATCCTGGAGCTGACCAGACCACCAGACGCCATCTTGAGATCACTGGGCTGATACCTTCCCACACCCACCCCTGAGCCCATTCCCTTTAAAAGAAGAGCCGGGAACCCCCAAGGGCACCTCTCGCTCTTGAGACCTCGTCCATTCTCCTTGACTATGGACCTGCTTCCGAAATGAACCTCTGTCTCTGCCTTTGACGGGTGTGTGCTGGGATCTTTTTGTGTCACATATGCCAAGAGCCCAGCTGATCCCGAGGGGAGTCCCCTTCTCTCCGGGAACTCCTTGAACCCTTCCTGGGACACTGCCAGTCAGAGTGGGCCTGAGGGGGCGTTGGTGACCTCCCGTCTAGCCTGGCCGCCTTATTTGATGAATGAGGAAATCGAGGTCCAGGAGGAAGGAGAGTGTGGCCTCTGGTCACCCGGTGAGTTGGCCCAGACCCAGAGCTGGGCCCAGGTCTGTGTCTGTCACCAGACCAAGTCTCTCCCTCCCGGGCCACCTCTAATTCGGGGCCTGGAGCTCGGTCTTCTAACCTTGCTCCTTTAACCCTTGCAGAGCTCGGTCTTCTAACCTTGCTCCTTTAACCCTTGCAAAGCAGCCACGTCAGGGAAGCTTCTAGAGGAAAACTCTCCCGGGTTCCTTCCCCCCACCCCAGGGAAGGAAAAGGGATGTCTTTTCCCGTGATTCCCTCCTTCTTTGGGGTGTAGACAGTTAGGACCTCACTGACCCGCAAACCAGCCGCTCCCAGGAAAACCCTGAGACTTACTTGGACTGCAGGGGCCGGTCGCTGGGGTACATCCATCGGTTGGTGCTGTTGCTGACCACGGTGTCCGTCATAGTGGATGGCGGGTGCTCCTGGAAAACAACCCAGAGAGGATGTCACCCTGTCACTCTGTGTCATACAAAGGAACTTTATCCACATCTCCATTCTCCAGATGGGGACCCTTGGGCGTTGCTGGGGGACGCTGTGGACCTTCGACACAGGCAGCCTGGTGAGAGGCCCTTAGGCCGCTGAGGGACTACCCTCAAAGAGAAGCACGGGACTCTTGTCCCACAGGTCCTCTGTTTCCCGGGTCCTGGTGTAAGTGGACTGCTCCTGCCATGCTGTGCTTGGGATTTGATGGAGGTAGAAATGATGGGGCTCCCATCTTGAATCTCCAGAAATCTAAGCCCCAATAAGCCTGTGTTTACTTCCTAAGCAGCAGATGTTGGGTGTTTCATTATAGCAATGGCAAGCTGGCCAAGACCGACTCTCTGTGCCTACCCTTGCCCTGGGGCCACTTATGCTTCACAGAGTGGCCAGGGAGGTCTTGAGAAAGCTGGCTCCTAGCTTGTAAGAACAGCCCCCACCACGGCTAGACCCAGAGAGACCGTTTTGGCATTGATTGTGGTGATGGGTGTGAAACTGTGAATATTCCAAAATCCACTCGCTGGTCCACTTTAAATGGGTGAATTGAATGACATGGGAATTATACCTCATTAAAGCTGAAAATGGTACATTACTTTGGAAAATGCTTTGGCCATGTCTATTAACGTCTATTAATGTCTACCCTGTGACCAAGAATCGTGCTCAGGTATATATCCAAGAAAAATGGTGCTTGTACACTAAGACAAGTAGAGGGTATTCACAGAAAAAAAAATTGGGTGGGTGGGGAATAGCTAAAAATTGGAATTAACCCAGGTATCCACCGCAGAAGAGCAGAGAGATCAAGGGTGGTTTGATCATATTGTGGAATACTGGTCAGAGCTAACACACAAATTCCTGGTAGCCTTGAAACCCTGGTGGCAAACACCTATAATCCCAGCGGCTTGGGAGGCTGAGGCAGGAGGAACATGAGTTCAAAGGCAGCCTCAGCAAAAGTGAGGCATGAAGCAACTTAGTGAGACCCTGTCTCTAAATGAAATGCAAAATAGGGCTGGGGATGGGGCTCAGGGGTCCAGTCCTTCTGAGTTCAATCCCTGGTTACCCCCCCATCCCCCCCAACCCCCCCCCCAAAAAAAACCCAAAACCCTGGATGGATCAGGAGAACATCAGGTTTAGTCCAAGAAGCGAGGCTGAAAGCAAACACACTATTTGATAGTATTTCCCTGAAAGTTAAGAAGATAGAGCAAATGGCTCACCAACCCTGGGGAGATCATCAATTGGGAGGGGACATGGGGGTTTCCTGGTCTGGGTGGTCAGGAACTGGGTGTACACGTCTGCAGAAGCCCTAAGCTGGCCATTTAAGACAGTGTTCCCCATGTCCTTCCCTTTGCCCCCAAAGGTAAGGAGCTCAAGTCGCTCTTTTGCTCAAGAGTCTTCTATGGATCTCATTTGCTCCCAGAATCAAATCCAAACCCCTCGGCACGGCCCAACTCCCTGTGATCTCCCTGCTCCAGAAGGATGCTGCTCTTTCTGGAACATTCCAGCACTTTCCCACAAATTCGCTCTGCCCGGGACCCCTTCCCTGCTGCGTGCCCGCCGCCATCAGGAAGGTCTCTTCTCCAATGTCGCCTCCCCAGAGAGGCCTCCCTGGCTGCTCAATTCATTTACTTTGTGCCTTTTTAATTAAAAAAAAATTAATAGATGTGTTTGAAGAATGCATATTTAAATGCATAAATGACATAAATCCTACAAACGAGGGCATCGCGGAACAGATGAGCTTCCGTCACCCCCCGCGGCTGCCTATTTTCGGCTCTGCTGTTTTGCAGGCAGGTCGGCTGCCATCCACTCATTTAGGAAAACTCTGAACACAACCCCCGACCAGAGGCCGCGGTCGGTCGTCTTGGTGCCTTGCTGGCCCCTCCGTCCACCCTGCACATCGGCCACTGTGGATCCTTCAGTTCAGTCCCTTTCAGACGCCCCCCTCCCCCACCTCTCCCCCCAGGTTCTCTTTACTCTGATTTATTTTCCTTCGCAGCTCCCCATGATTGTAATTTATTTTCGAATTTGGCCAGTTGCTTGGAGTCTGGGTCTCCCTGCCAAAACAGAAGCCCCTGGCAGAGCTCCTGGTGGGTCTTGCTGCTCGACTCCCGAGGCCCAGGGGACGAGGCCACGGACAGAAGGGGGATGGGCGTGTTGGGGGGGGGGGGGATGCTGGTCCCCTGCGGCTCCTGCTCCCTCTGAAGCTGGATGGGTGACAAGGGAAGGTGAACAGCCGAGCCCCTTCCCTGCCCTGCAGCCTCGGGATCATCCTCTTTGTGTGGGGGAAGCTGCTGGGGGAGAAGACCCCTCCTGAAAAGCCATTTCCTCCGCTCCTATGTGGGGGGACATAATCTTCCCAGATTAATGCAGCCATTTGGTTGTTGCTTGCATGTCAAAAACGGAAAGAAAGGAGAGAGAGAAATTTCCTGTTGTGAAGGAAATTTGCTGAGAAGAACCTTTAATGTCTCCTTATTGCTGTTGCGGGAACTGAGCTGCTTCCCTGGCCCCCCTGGGGACCCCTGGCCCCGCTGGGCCCGTGAGTTTCAGCTGGTTTGAACCAGCGCCTGCAACTGGGTGGCTCCCTTCTTTCAGCAGAGGGGAGACGCGGCCCTTGGGGGAACCTGGAAGGCAAGGGTCCATCCTCTCCCAGGAACTCTGGTCCCCAAATCCTGCTGCCCTGGGGGCAGAGCCCTCTTGTGCATTTAGTCACCCCCACACAGGTCCCACTAAAATTCCATCTGCCAAGTTCAGACCCACAGGCCAACCTCCCAGGGGAAACTTCCCAGCTCCTTCCCCCAGGCCAAGAGCCACCCTGGACAAACAAGGCTATTTCACGGTGGCCAAGTTCAACATCCCTGGACTGGACTCCGTGTCCAGTGCTCGCCCCCATCCCAGACCAGGAGGGGGGAGATCTGAGCCAAACTACAGGAAAAATGGTGTAGGAAAGGCGGATCTGGGATGGCTGGGAGGCGGTGGGAGGGCTGCCGGTCGCCTCTGGGGACCCCCCTACAGCAGGCGCACACCCCCAGCCTCCAGGGGTGTCGGCCACTCCTAGGAGCCAGTCCCAAGGAGCTGCCTGGCTCAGACACCTGGAAGGCACAGCCCCAGTTCAGGGTGTGACAGTTCTGGGATGCCGTCCTGTTCCAGGGCTCCCTGGGGACCAGGCTGCACTGAGGTCCCGTCTCCTGGCCTCCTCTGACCCACTGTTTCCCTTGTTCCTTGTGGGTCCTGCTCGGAGCATCTGTGTGTCTATCTCTGGCCCAGGAAGCCCATCTCGGGTCCTGCTCCTAGACAGCGCGACGACGCGTGCAGGTTGTCAGGAGAGCCAGGGACCCACGGCCACGTGCTCCTTACAGCACTGGGCGGCCACTGAGCTGTCCTCTAACCTGACAGCACGTGACCCTAGGTGTCCCACCTGCCTGCAGATGACACTCCATGAAGGCCAGCCACGCTCTCAGGAGGGAGGGTGAGTTAACAGGGGTGGGGACAGTCAACGGTGAGCGCCTGAGGTCCAGTGCCCCAGCCCGTGCCCACTGCCCACTACAGAGAAGCCCTCAATGACAGAGGAGCCCCGGACTCCGTGGGGGACAGAGGAGGAAAGCAGCCACTGACAGCAGAAAGATGTGTCAGAAAAAAAGTACAGGTTTCCAAGCCGCTTGACCTCAGGAACTCAGTGTCACTGAGCTCATGAGGTGAATCCCCACCTACAGTCCCTGACACACAGGAGGGACTTTGGAAAACAACAATTAATTTCTTTTTCCTGCTTCTCCTATAGTTGATACCCAACAGTAAAATGAGTCATTATTTCTTGAACATCTACTATGCACCAAATTCCATGCCCGCCTTATTGCATTCATCTTTATAATTCTCATTTTACAGCTCAAGAACTCAGGCTCAGAGTGGTTAAGCCACCTGCTCAACCTCACACAGCTACTGAGGAGCAGAGCCAGTGTGTTTCTTCACTTCTCTGTCATCCCTGCACGGGCTTCTTGGGTCCTGGTGAGCAGGCGGGCATTGCCAGCTGTCCAGTCCTGACCCTCTGCCCCCTGGCTGTATTCCCACCTCTCAGCCCCAGAAGAGAAAGAGAGACTTGCCCAGCCTGTCCCCTGCCAGGTGCCTGTGGGAGCTGGTGTGCTGCAGCCTGGGCAGGACTGGGGCACTGGCTTCCATCCAGTCCTGCAGCTGTGACTTCAGACAGTGAAACATGAACTGCAGCTCTGGGAACCAGGGCTTCTCCCCAGCCCGCAGCCCCTGCAGCCCCCGAAGATGCCCTGGGGGAGCAGTGACAATCGAGATGACTGTGTTGGCTCTCAGATGGGCAGAGCACCTCGCGAGCCTTGTCTTCTTCTTGCCCCGTGTTGCAGGTGGGGTGACAGCCAGGGAGAGGTGGAGTAGGCTTCCCGAGGCCCTGCGTCCAGTCCCAGTGATCGTTTGTCTTTACAAAATGCAATTTTAAAAGAAAAAGGTGTTTCCAGGGCTGCCCCTTGCAAGGAGGAGATTTGAGGCCTTTCTGTGACCTCTGGGAATGGCCATGACCTTCTGTGTCTCCTCCGTTCCCGCTCCTCTCTCCGGGCCTCTTCCTCTGCTGTTCTCTCTGCCTGGAGAGCACCTTCCTCCCACGGTCACGTGGCTCTGCTGGTCTCTGCACAAACGTCACCCCCTCCAAGAAGCCTTCCCTGAATACACACTGTCATCTCCCCTTGCCCCATTATGGAGTCTCATTCTGTTTATTGCCATTATAATGTTTATCGACGTGTGATCTTTTTGATTTGCTGTGTGTCTCTCCACCTGCTCTGTAAGCTCCCCAAGCACGGCCCGGGGCCTGTATTTGTTCAAGGCTCCCTCATAGGTATGCCCAGCTTCGCAGCCTAGGCTGCTGCACGGGGCTTCACACATAAAAGGACCCCCGGCTTAGAAGGACCATGTGCTTGGC